CACGCTTTGTTACAGAGCTGGGCAGCTGGTCTTATCCCGAAGCTGACCTTACTGAGACCATCTCAAAGCTCCCCATCATGCTCCTTGCTCCTGAACATAAGAAGAACAAGGCTGCTCATCGATGAATGTACAGGTTTTGACGCAGGGGTGGCTGTTCCTCAGCGCCACATGGACATCACCACCACCACATAAGCTGGTTCAAGAAACGGCCATCCCAAAGACAATGTTTTTGGCTCTCCAAAACACATAGGCAGGGAAGAGAGAGCAGGGCTCCTGCCACAGAGATGGTAGCAGACACCCCAAGTTTTCACACTCAATCTGAGGGCACACCAGACAGATATTTGCATCCTGTTGGTTGCTATGAAAGCTTCTCCTGATGTGAGGACTTCCAGAGAAGGATAAACAAGAGTTTCTATTTCTCAGCAGCTAACACAGAGCCCAGACAGAGCTGACCACAAAATAACAGAGGGAAACACGAAAGCACAACCTCCCAGTCCCATGCTGAGCAGGAACAGCACTTCTCCCATCCTCTCCAAGATCTTCAAGACCCGAAAGCCTGACCTAGGTCACTGTCTGGTGTTTTCCCTGCCTATTCAATTTTATCACCTCTGCAGCACTCAACTGTTGCTCCCCGCAAAAGCCACACAGGGCTGTCCAACAAACAGCTGAGCGAGACGGCAAGGAGGAGAGTCGTGCAGGAGCACCGCCCGGGAAGAGGAGGGCTGGGATCCACGTGCCAAGCCAGCAGCCCCAGTGTGAAGCCAGAGCTGCTGCTTCTGTATTTCCTGACCTTGTGGATTTTCTCCTGTAGCGAGCGGGCTCCTGGCTCCCATTCAAAGCTGTCTAGGAAAGCTTCTCCGAGTGCTTCCGCCTGGCAGTGGCAGCTGTTCCCAGCCCAGTAGCCAGAGCCACGCAGCTCCAGCAAACAAGAAACATCTGCCAGCCCTGTGCAGGAGGCTGGGAGAGCAAGCACCCAGCCGTGGTGGGCACCAGCATCCTACTTTTGTCTTGCAGGGAGGGGATGAAGGTGTAGGTGAAGGCAGAAGGCACATCTCCTTGTCTTCTGCCCTGCCTGCGCATGCTGGGCAGCACAGAGGCTTTGCCCGCAGAAGCAAGGACCAAGACGCTTGGCACAAGTTTTTGTGGGGCTAAGACCTAAAGGAGGTGCAGGTCAGTGCAAGGTTACAGGCGCTGCCCAGAGACCCAGCTGTGTCCTGCAAAGAACAACCTGATGTTCTTCATGGTTCCTCTTCTCCAGCACAGAGCTTCATCTGCAGGAGGAGAGGTGGTTTTGGGGACCTGACTGTGAAACCTCCAGAAACTCACTCAGTAGAAGAAGAGGTGAAGAACTCAAGGGGCATGTCCCCATCAGTACGTCCCATCACAGTGCCACAGTTTCAAGAAAAGCTCAGGTGTCAAGCAAAAGGGATTTGCAGTGGGCTTCCAATGCATTTACCATGAGGGCAGCTCCGACACCCTTCCAACAGGATCACTGAAGGAGCTTTCTCTGTCCTCCCTTTCCTCCTGTCACCTTGTTTCTCCCCTAGGATGGACACCAAGCCAAGAGACAGCTTTTTGTGCAGCACCACTGTACTGAGGCCAGCCCCAACAAAAGTTTTACAACTGTTCATTACTGAACATTTACCCTCTACCTGTCCATTGGGAGGCCTCTGCATTTAAAGGCACCAGAAGTCAGTTTCACCTCTGCCAATCTCTTTGGACATGTCTCAGATTGGGCATCCCTTCCTCCAAAAGCACTGTCCACAGGAACCACAGAGCCCTTAAGACCACAAATGCCACAGTTTGATTTTATTTCCCTTCAGCAGAGATGTCCTGCAGGCAGAAGTGGTCTGTAGTCCTCTAAGAGAACAACACTTGCCTTGGCCTTTCGCCAGCAGTCCACCACGCCTGCAAGTCAGGAATCCTACTTGGTGATCTTAAAACTTTGACAAGGCAAACCTCGCTGGCCCACCATGGTGACCGTCCAGGCTCCTCCATTTGCTCATGCAAAAGACTGTCACCAACGTCACAAAATACAGTTTCTGGAGGGACAGAAGGAACCTCTCCAGTGGTGTGAAATGCCACCTGCCATCTTCACTCAAGAGTCAAAACACTGATGTTCTCCACAGCCTGCCAAGCCTGAAAGAGATTAGGGAAACAAGGCTGGCACGCGGATGCTCTGTTACAAATCACAGCCTATCCAATGCTTCGTTTTAATTTACTTGTTGCTTTTTAAAATAACACGTGGGTTGCAAATCTAACCTAACATGCTTGTTGCTGGCTTGCTGACTGTGTACTTGCAAACTCAGACGATGCAGTCCACAGATGAAAACAAAGAGTGAGGGATGCCAAAGACGGAATAAAAGTTGCAAATGGTGGCGCTGCTTTGGAGAAACAACTTGGAGGTAATAAACGACTTCCATTAGGGAAAAAAGCCTGAGAGGAACAGAATGGCTTCTTCCATCCTCTGCAAGCTCTTCATGATCTGAAGGAAAAGGCAGCCTGTCCCAAGAGACTGAGCACAAAAATATTGCTCCAGAGGAAAAAAAAAAAGAAAGAGAGTAAAGAATGATATCATGTAGGAGGCTCAGAAAACAGGCACACATTCAAGGAGAAACCTGGGTGGAAGAATAGCAGAAAGCTGTGGGCAGGTTCGAGGCAAGGGCAGGTCTGGAAGAGAGGGATTGCCTCTCTGCAGCAGCCACAAACGTGTCCCAGCAGCAAGGTGCAAGCCGTGGCTTTGCACAAGGTCTTGAACAGGCACAGACAGGTCCCTGCACTGGGCCCAGCCCTTCCACAGTTCCCAGTTGAAGCATCTCTGGCAACACAACACCGCTGCCAGAGACTACCCAACCACAAAGAGCTAGTGAAGTCCCTGCTCACTTTCCCTCTCCAGAAGAGGCAGAAGGACAAAGGAAAACAAGACAGTACCATCCTCACCAAAGCTGCTGCCCGTTTTCTGTTCCCTGGTTCCCACTTCAGCTGACTGATAGTTGAGTAATTCAGTAAAAGACAAAGCTGCACAATCATCGGCTGTTACCAGTAAGTGGGTCCGGTTGCGCTGTTCTTGGTTTTCCTCTCAAATAACAAATATTATTAATAAAGTTCTTTGTTGCCAGCTTACTCTAAGAAAAACAACTGGTAGGCAGCTATGCCTAAACCACCCAAAACAGCAAACAACCTACACGAGTCAGTAACGCAATAAACCCAAAGAACAAACCAGCTACCCAAGAGCTTTCTCTCTGGACGAAGGAATTGCCTCCCTCAGCCAACACAGGCCACCAAAATTACTACACTCCAAAGAAAGAGTAGCAGACCCCTTATCTCAGGAGCTTACAAACCAGGACTGCTCATGCCAGCATCGCCAGCATCACGAACGTGCCACAGGGAACAGCACGCCATCAGGGAACTCTGGCAGGTGCTGGGACATGCTTGTGAATCATGGTGGGATCTTCACCTCCCACCATCACCACTCCACCCTCCTCCCTGAAAGCAAGGAGCCTGTCCCACCACAGCCTCTGCAGAAGAACCAATCTCCCAAGCTAACTTCCACAGAGAGAAAGCGTGCTGCTCTGCTGGTTACTTGCTGCCAGTCCGTGGAAAGGTCTGAAGGAAAGAGGCAAGCAAATGGTATGTCCCACCCCACTGCTGAACACAGACCCTTAAAAGAAGAAAAAAATGACAAGCAGATGGGAGAGATCACCTGGGCTAGCACCCAAGTCACTAGCTGAAAACATCAGTTGTCTGCCTCTGGCAGGACCCACGGTTTGAAGAAATCAAAGACTTTTTAAATTACATTCGTGATTTATGATCTAACACTTCAGTGCTGTTTGAGATTCTAGATGAGCAAGAGTAGCCTGCGTAAGGAAAGAGGAGACTGGAGTTTTGTCTGAGAGCCTGGTGAAGGAGGATGCACGAAGGCATGACCACACCACAAAGCAGGCTGGGACAACGGGACAATTACCTAAAAACTGAGCTCTTATCTTGCAGTCAGGAGTTAGGACCTGGCGCAGACTCTGCCAACGCATGTGGAAAAGCGGCGTGGGGGAGGAAAAGCTCCCGCTGCTGAGATGCAGTAGCCTGCAGACTGCCAGGGCTCCTCCACTTTCATCTCCTCCCCAGCCTCCCAGGGCCAAGCAGGTGGCTCAGAGGCAGATGGTCCCCGCCTGGGCTGGCAGCTCTCCACCTCGCCCTGCAGAAGAGACTTCTCACAGGCCTCCCAGCCTTTTTCAGAAAAACAAATTAAGAACATACTCTCTGCAGTGGAGAAGAGCAGGTGGAGCTCAAGAGAAGAGGCTGCTTTTAACTTTCCTTTGCATTAAAATCTCATCTATCCACATAAATGGAATGGGTGAAAAGCAGCATGATGTACCTCGAGCATATGAAGAGATGGACAGGCACTCAGGAAAGTTTAAAACAAGACCCACATTATAGATGATAGCTATAACTGCTAAAATGCACAGTAGGCAACCACGAACTCAGGCTCTGAGCAATCTATTGACTTGCTACCACCAAATTGTATTGATTTTCCCACAAGATATAAGGCACAAGGAAGTAGAAACTCAGACCAGATGAGTACGTAGTGCCAGTGTTAAGTGGATCTCTGCAATTACAGCTACTGGCAGGGACAGAGAACATCAGGCTTTGCGGCAAATACTACTCTGTAATGGGGTGGGATTACAAGAGACGCTGCCTCCAGGCTGGTTTCCTAAGGTACCTGATGTCTTCTGCCTGGTCCTCTTGGCGATGAGAGAACAGGTGCAGGCAAGCTGCCAGAGAAAGGTGCAGCCTCTCCCAGGACCCACCAATCCTGGCATCACACTGCTGCAACAGTATAAGAAGGAACAAATTCCCATCTCGCCACCAAGCTGCCAGAGATGGAGCACCCAATGCTGGAGGCGGGGGTGGCGGCCATGCATGAACAGAAACACTGTCCTCATTGCACAGACAAGGGGATGCAAACAAGCCGAGGGACTGGCCCAAAGTAATCAATGGGTGGTAAAGCTGGGAACTAAATTCAGTGGCTTCCCATCTGGGGTCTTCACATGAGACAGGAAGCTCCCAGTAGAGGTTTTGGATGGAAAAGCCATTGGTCTGCTGCTGGGTCTTTGTGTTGGGCTGTCAGAGCTGGCAGCTCCACCCCAGCCCAGCTTCCCTGGGCAGAGATGGTTGGGGAGGCAGGGTACAGCCAGCAGGAAAGCTCAGAGTGCTGCAAGAGGCGCCCTGCTCTCCAGTTATCCTAATGAAATCATGGCTGGGTCACAGGCACAGGCAGAGAGGTGGATGCTCTGATGCACACCTAAGCAATGGGAGACGCAGGTGGGGCTGGGAGCAGAAAGGCAGGCTGAGCACCGCTGCCATTCTCCCCACGTGAAGGCCGGCTACAAGAATGGGGGAAGCCACTGGTATGAGGTGGCCTTGTACATCACTTAGGAAAAGGGCCAGTCCCAATCTGACCACTCCCGATGCGTATCAGGCCAAAAAAACGTACCCCCCATAGTCAAGAAATGCAATCGCCCTATGAGATTTCCGTTCTCCTCTCCCTCCCATCCTTCCCCGTTCCTCCCAAACAACTGCTGACAGGGAAAAATTAGGAAGCTGCTTTCAGGAAACGCATCCAAGCCATTTTCACTGAGAAGAATTTGCAATGGAAATAGGTCTGGCTGTTCCTATTGCTTCCTTCCTGCTTGCTTTAAATCCTAACGCTAAAATACGTATTTTTTCAGCAAATAAATGGATAAGACAACATGGTATTTGAAGCTGGGAAGTTTCAAGAATTGTTTTGATACTGATTTTAGTTTTTTAATTTTTTTGTTTCAACATTTAATGGATAAGAGTCTTTTTAAAAGGCCAGGTTTGGGACCAAAATAATATTACAAGAGTATTGGTGAGCTCTGGTCTCCAGGAATGAAATGGCACACACAGCACATGTCCTATTGCACTACAGCTCCTGCAGCAGAAAGGTCCACACAGCGAGCCAGCAGTACTGGGATCAGGTGGAAAGAGGTGGAAGCTGTTGGCCAGCAGCAGAAAAGCAGACAAATGAGTATCCTGGGACAGCAGGAGCCTGCTCCTGCCCATGCAGCACTCACCCTCTGGATGGCTAACCAGCCCTGCAGAGAAACAGTCCTCTCGTCTGGGGATGGGTCAAGTCCCCCTAGAAGGAGAAGAAACAGAGGGGAGGAGTGAGAGGATCCCTCTCCGCAGGGACAGCCAGCTCTAGCTGAGTTGGACTCAGACAGGTGTATCTCGGGGTATCCTTCAGTTAGCACCCAACTGGCCTCCCCCAGCTTCCCTGGGCAGCACCTAGGACCTTGCACTGGAAGGGGAAAAGCAGTTAACCCCACTCCGTCCTCTGTCACATGTGGAGTATCACAGGCCGCTGATCATATCCTCCAAAGTTGTATCTTTTCAGGGAAAGGTGGTACAGCATGTTTTTTGCCCCTCATTTTTTTCAAGACAGAGGGTAGAAATGCATAGGTAGAATAGAGTCATCTCTGCAGGCTAGTTGTGGGTGAGGGACAGTCCATCTTGGGATGAGGGAAGAAGATTGAGTTTCCTTCTTGCTTTTCCATTCCCAACAGGAGAGTGAGTGATAAAAAAATCGCTCATACAATTCGTTCGAAGACAGAGCTCAAAGGAACAGCTTGAGTGATTCCAAACAGCCAAAATCAGATACTTCCAGAGTGTCTCCTTTATTAGCAAGCCATTTAATTTACGTGATCAAATATAACGATCATCCTTTTGCATTCATTGAGCCCTTGCAGTGCCTTTGCAGGCACATGTCCTTATTTACTAGCAGAGCAGGGATGAAGGGGGAGAAGGCACCACAGCAAAAAGCAAACTTGCAGGGCTCGCTTTAACAAATCTGGGAGAAGGAGCTGGGGAAAACACATTAGAAAAGCAAGCAATGGGGCATCTCAGGGAGCCAAGGGGGCAGCAGGAAGAGGAGATAAAAGGAAGTGAGCAGGCAGCTGCTCCTGGGACCCCATCCCTGCTCTCCTTCCCACTGGGACATGTTATTAGCAGGGTGACACAATGCTGTTGCAAGCATGAATATGCATCAGTCATTATGCAGTAGATATGCAGGGGCACGCTGCTGATTTACAGACCTGGCAGCTGCAGCACCAGCCAACTGCAACCTAGAGGGATGGGGACACTGAGCGTGGCTGGCGGAGAGGTCTGGAGAACACCTCGAAACCCAGCCCTTCAACATCCAAGGCGAATGAACCCGTCACGACCAGCTCTGAAGCCAGGCAGAGCCAACCAACGCACCGTGTGTGCAGTACTGAGCAACCATCACACACCACTGACACCAACAGAGAGGTCCAAAGGGCAAGGCGTGAGATCCAAGTTTAGATCAGTAGACTTTGTTAAGTTTGGGCCCTGGATTACCCAAACCTCACTTTGCTGCTTGTGGTGAACCTCAGCCACAACAGGCTTGTTTATGTGACGCTCGTGTCCCCTCCCTCTGCAGCAGTCTGGATTTTTAAAAAAATGCAAGCAATGTCGCTGTGGGCGGGTTATTTAAATGCATCACTGTCAAAAGCCCAGACCTGCTGCAAGTAAGACCGAAGATGTACAGATTACAGCTCTCCATACTGAAAAGGGAGGAATCTCCCTCTTTTGGCTCTGGAGCAATGAAGGGACAATGCATAGGGACTCATCCTGCCTGTCTTGCAAGTGTCCCAGCACGGACGCAGAAGACATGCTCCTTCAGCTCCAAGAACACTCTACGCAGGTTCATATATCCCACCCCCGGGGATCACATGGCGTAGCAGATCAAGGAAACAGTAACTCCACCCTGCAACAAGGAATCCGCAGTAATTAAGTGACTTGCTGACGGTCACACAGGAAACTCATGGTCAAGCTGGGGATTTCTGCTCCCCATGTTCAAGCTTTTGCTACAAGACTGTGCTTCTCATCAATGGCTGTGATTGATTATGAAGGGGACAGGAGCTACTCCATCACCTCAGCCACGGCTTCCAGCATCTGCTGGCAGACCTGCAGAATCAGCAGAAGCAGGGGGGTGGGGGTGTGTTTCCTTCCAGAGCTTCCTTGGGAGCCCACAGCAACGATGACATGCAGGATTTGGGTGGGCTCGCAGCCAGCATCCACAGGCACACTAGGGCTGAAGAGAAACCACGGAGATGCGAGACACCAAGCCTGTGTGAGAAGCGGCTCCACCTCAGCGCTGAAGCCTGACAACATGATTAACAAATAAGCAAAGCCTCTGAGAGCAGCAGAGTGGTTGAGGTCCCTCTGAGAATGCCTCTAAAAGGTTAGGTGTACCTACGTCATCTCAAAATTCCTCAACTGATCCCCAGTCCCTCAGGATATCCCTGGTAGAGGTAATGAGTAGATCTAGATCTGGCCTTGGCACTGCACTTGACATGGCCATCAAGCTCCAGAGACCTCTTTCACTCAATTTAGGTGCTCCTCTACATAGATGAACAACTGATGGAGAAAAGGGTAACACAGGGCTCTGATGTTCACCTGGACTAGCACAACTGAAGGAGCAAGTGCTCCCTTCAGTCACATTAACGAGATTTGCTTGTTTGAAAGAGGTATGGACAGGAAGCACACTGTGCCCTGAGCTTCAGGGGTGATAACTCACTGTGAAAGCAAGAGTCAGAGCATTCATGAAGTGAATGGACAAAAAGATGCAAGGGAGCGTGGACATGAGCTCCCAACCGCAAACAGAAAGAAGAAAACCTTCAAGTCTTTAGGCAGAGAATGTCTTTAGTAGGAGTCAGCTAGAGACCAGCACCTGCCCACAGCTGGTACCACCTGGCAGGTACCTGGTGACCAGACACAGCTGGTGCTCACAACACCCACAGACAGGATTTCACCCTGTTCTTTAGCACCTGGTTTCTCCCGAGAGTACAGGAAGAAAGCATGCAAAGCACCGCCCAAAAACGTCTGCGGCATAAGCTGGAAAAGTCACAGTTTGGGGAAGTAAAACAGCCTCACATGAGCCCGCTGGTACCCTCCTAGATGAAGCATCCTTTTATCAGGTATGGCAATGCACCTCCATCACAGATCAATCTCTGCACAGCAAACTCCTCAGGCAAACCCCAAACAGCAGCAAGAAAAGGTCTCACACACTTCCGGGAGGCAGGAGAGAAAGAAAGGAAAAAAAAAAAGACTTTTGAACTTTGAACTGTAATGCACTGTAATTACTGTAATGTAACTTCATCAGGGCAGTATAAGCAACAGCTGGGCATGAAAGACGTTGTAGCAGATTCTCACATAGCCCTAAACTTTCTTTTACTCTTTACAGTAGAAGCCATCTCTGGTCCTAGAGCAGAGTCTCATCCTGCCATATGATCTGCAAACAAAAAAACGGGACTTCTATACCAAAGCTTCCACTTTGGAGAATTTAATTCTTTTTAACTCTCATTGTTCCTGCTGTCCACACAACATTCAAATCTATCTTCTGAAGACACTGACTTCACTAACATCTTGCAACAAAGAGATCCCCAAGCTATAAACATCACTTCTTTTTGTCAGGCTTCCCATTTTCTTTCCCAGTGTCCAGCCATCTCCCACTAGCCTCTCAGACTTTCTGATCCTGCTGCCCAAGCACAACTTTGCAATGCTGGAGAAGCACACATTGCAGAGATGTTTAAAAAAGAAACACAGAAGTGTTCATTGGATTTATTCTTGGACTTCGTAAGGCTCTCACAAATGGTTCTGTGTTTGGCCTGAAAAAGACACAACCACAAAAGGCAAACTTAGAGCCTCAAAGCTGACCTCTCCTGACAGCCTGAAGCCACTCTGCTTATGTAGTATGGACAAGGTGTAAGATTTTTTTAGTTTCCCAAAGGAAGGGAGAAAACAGCCCAAGCTGAGAAGTCAGAACCAAACACATGAATCCCAAAACTGAGATCTGACCTTAAGGAAAAGGTAAAAAGTAGCGTCTCTGCAGTGAAGCCCTAAAGCCAAGACAGTCAACATTGGTTGAGGACCTCAACTAGGCCTGTTTTCATTCTCAACCTTAGCCCACTTGGAGCACTTACACCTCTCACCATCTTGAGGCAGTGGCAAGATAGACTGACGTTTCATGGGAAAAGAAGGGTTAAAAATACACCTTCATTTAGCCAGGGAGGCACAGAGAGTGCCTACAGAACAGCTGTGAAAGTCAGCAATCATAAAGCAGAAGAAGGAAGGAGGTCACCGCATTGTTTCCTCCTCCCTAGAGACCTTGCTGCCACGAGGAATTGCACATGGCGCTGGTGGGTGCTGGCACAGCGAACTTGCTCCTGGGGTCAGCAGCTGAGTGTCTTCCCTGACCTCTCTGCTAAGAGGCTCAAAGCATCCCTTCCTTTCCCCTACCACTGGCTCCTCAGGACACACAGAGTCTGCCTAAGGGGTTTCTGCAAGGGGGGGTGACAAAAATAAGCCTGCACACATTATGTAGCAGTCTCTGGGTCCATCCATCCTAGTGGAGGTGCAGACATCTATTGGACAATGCCTGAGGACCACAGCGGAGGAACTGCTGCAGCAAAGATCAAGCTGACTCATGGTTCTTTAGCTTTGGTTTAAAATATCATAAATAAATAAAACAAAACAAAACCCTTCAGCCCACTGGAAAAAATCCAAGCATCTGCCTTCAATCCCTCGGCATATAATAATACAACTTTATTATTGTAAGTTAAATTTATTGTATTCTCTATACACTATTAGGTCAGTGGGGTTGGGAAGATCTGTTAACATGAAGCATATCACCTTGCAAATCACTGATTGCTGGGAGCACTTCATGTTATCACCCTTTGCCATCAGCCCCCAGCCACCAGTAAACCAGCCCTGACCTTTTCTTCTATCGGTTACCGCTGTGTTCAGCATCTGCCCTCGCAAACACCAAGACAGACACAAGAACTGAAGTTCTGATATTTTCTGGAAAGAGGGTTGAAAACTCTCAGGGCACCAAAAGCCTCATACAACTGTCCATGGGCTATGGGAAATACCACTGAAGTGGCTCCAAGCATGGTTGGTGGGACACAGAGATGGGATGTGCACCAAAAGACCACAGTCTACGTGCTTGCACAGACTGGTGGCTGCATTCCTTTTCACACCTTCAGGCTTTTTTTGGTCTGCTACTATAAATATGAATTGTAACAGCTTTGAAGTCACTGTTCAAGTGGCAGGAGCCTG